ATCTATAGTCTACCAGCATATAATTGGCTATAATGATATAGCATAGGACAAAACAGTCATAAGACTTAAAACTCTTAATTACCAGTGAGATGTGATATTCCCATTGCAATTAAGCTTTCTGGGAAGGGTTAAAGTTTTCTCCCTTTGTGCAATATGAAGCTTTGAGGGTCAGGGCTAGTCACAACTTTGGGATTGCCCTCTTCTTCAAAGCTCTAAACCAAATGTGCATTTTGGGAGCCTTTCCCCAAATCAACCCCTTATTTCTCTCTCCTGCCAGGTTGGACACAGTACAGAGAAGAACGCTTCCTGCTGCCTTCCTTCTCCAGCTCCATAGCCCAAGCTCAGCTGAACCCAGGACAGGCTCTCCAGGTTTGTCTGCAGTGGTTTTTAGTAGCTATGCTGAAGGAGGGAATAGCTGGTCTCTATCCAAGGACAACCCCTCTGGCATTTCCCTTACCGTGATATCTTTATAACAGGCTGGAAGCCACAGTGCATCAAGGCAGACTGTGCTTCATGATACCATGGAAAGATGAAAGCACGGGTCAAATGCAGACTCTGGATCTGCATTTAGCACTCCAAAGCTCCTCTGCTTTAATCCCAGCTCCAGCAGTCCTTCCCTGTGTGGTCTTATGGGTCCATTTAACGCTTCTGTCTCAGTTTCTTCCATCCAGAGACAGTATTCACAAGAAGGTGTAAGTCTTGAGTAGCAGTTCTAAAAGGGGAGTTGCCAGGTATGTTGCTGTGGATCTGTGAACTCAAACATACCAAAGACAGGTATTTCTTACATAAATCCGAAATACACATGTCACTGTAACATGCTCAGTTCTGGATTACTTCTGCCTATAGGAGACAGAATCATAGAATCATTTAGGTTGACTAAGACCCTTAAGATCACTAAGCCCGAACATTAACTCAGCACTGCCAAGGCCACCAACAAAACATGTCCCGAAGTGCCTCATTTACACAGCTTTTAAATCCCTCCAGGATTGGTGACTCCACCACTGCCCTGGGCAGCTGTTAGGTTGGATGTTTTCCCAATATCCAACATAATCCTCCCCTGGCACGACTGGAGGCTGTTTCCTCATATCCTGTCCCTTGTTCCCTGGGAGCAGAGCCTGATCCCCACCTGGCTCCACCCTCCTGTCAGGGAGTTGTAGAGAGGGAGAAGGTCCCCCCTGAGCCTCCTTTTCTTTGCTCCCTCAGCTGCTCCCCATCAGATTTGTGCTCCAGACCCTTCCCCAACTCTGTTGCCATCCTCTGGACATGCTCCAGCCCCTCAATGTCTTTCTTGGAGCAAGTGGCCCAAAACTGACCCCAGGATCTGAGGCGCAGTTGAATAGGTCCAAACATGTGCTGCTGTGTACAACTGACTCCCTGAGTATTTAGAGGGTTTTTTGATTTATGGAAAAATTCCCTGTTCCCCGTGTTTTTGCAAGACTCTTTTCTGCTTTGGTTTTTTTTTTTTCCCTAGATCATAGATTGCTCTGGATGGGGCCATTTTTTACCTTGCTGCCTTTGTTTACCTAGTGTTTGGTTTGCTGCTGTTGTGGCTTGTACTTGGATTTTTAGGTACTACCTCACCTGTTATTAATGATAGAAAAATTTCCATATTTAAGTGATGACAATTTGATTCACCTTAAACTATGTTTTGTTTGCTGGGACTACAAAAGCATTGTCCAGTTGGTACTGTGGCCAATTCTTTGATTACATTATATCCAAGATGATCTTATTTCTCTTCTATGAAAGTAATCAATGAACTTCACAGAATCACAGAAATGTTTGCGTGGAAGGGTCCTCACAGACCATCTCCACACTAGACCAGGTTACTCCAAGCCCTGACCAAACCAGCCTTGAACACTTCTTTATTCTTCTATTTCTCTCCGCATGCTAACTCAACAGATTTATCTATAAATTCTGATGAAAGGACCATTTAAATCCATATAAAGCTATGTTAAATTGGACTGTTAACAAAATGAATTGTGCAATTGTGACTTTTTCCCAAGAAATAGATTGAGATCTGAATTACACTATTGTATCACTTTAAATGAGAAGCTCTTTGAACACAGTGTGTTTTTCATCACTACATCTGGCACGGTGTCTGAGAGACCAGTTGGGTTTATCTGATTTAGTTCCTACTGCATGTGTGCAGGGGAAGTGGCTGCATGTGAGCACTAGCACAGGGGTTTAGCAGATATTTTTCATTTCTAGGTATTTAATAAGCAGGTTGGAGATTCGGATTAATCATCTCTTTCCCATGTTTAGAGGACAATATGTGTCACCAGGAACATTCCATTGGATGTTGTTAGAGCAGGAAATTTGATTTATAATACATGAGTAGAACTGGAAGTGGGTGCCTCACTTCACCTGTGACCAAGATGTTCCACCTTGTCTTCTATCAAAGCAGCTTTATCCTCATGCCTGATAAGAACCTGGGATGAAATTCTAGGTGACTGAACCATTAAATTTTCCTCTGAACATCACAATCACATATAACTTTTAGGCATATCCCTTTATTTGTCACATTGCTTACACAACTGTTTGTTGTAGCCTTGCCCAACTGAAATGCAGAGACATGTTATACACCTTGACCTGTTCAGTTTGCCTAATAAAATCTAATGTTTGGGACTCCGGTGAGGGAAAATAGTTAAAGGCCTCCAGAAAGATGCAAACAACTCTTTACTGTTATAAAGTATTATTTGACTACAAAACCAGACCTGTTAAATTTTCTTGGTTTAGTCCAATCCCAGCTGTGTTGCAAAATGCAGGTTCCAATGGTGCTGTAACACTGGTATATGTTTTTTATTTAAGTTTTTCAACCTTTAGTAACAACACCAAATTTGAAAACCTCTTTCTGATTTTAAGCTTTCAATTTAAGTGGTTGTTTGGTCTCCTCCTTTTACCACTCAAACTGAAAATATACGCTTAGAGTGAATGGTCTGTATAGTTCTCTTGGCCTCTCTTTGGCTACTTAAAAAAAATAAAATTGGCAATTATTTTTAAAAGTACTGTAGAAAATATGAATTGATTCTTCAGCAAAAGCCTATAACAGTAAATGCACCGTAAAATGCATATGTTCCAAAACCTGAACACCTAAGTTGTGGAAAGAAATAATCCTTCAGAGATATTTCATTTGAATATTTCTGATCGTACGGTGATTGAACAGTTATTTTGCCTAAAATAAAATCTTTTATAGGGATTGATTCTTTTTTTTTAATTTATTTTTTAAAGACAGTAGCAGCTTATCTGATTAATGAATCTCTTTTTCTCTTTTGCCTGTGCTTATTTCTTCCAGTGATGCAAATCACTTGCCCAGCTTGTAAGCTGTTTTTATTTCTAATGAGAAGCTTTTGAATTTGAGATGTATGTAAATAATGTAATTTAATTGCTTTTTCCTTGATAAGAATACCCAAGTATGTCCTTGAGGTTTAGGCTGGATATCACAACAAAGTTTTTCACCAGAGGGTGGTTGAAAGGCTTCCCAGGGAAGTGGTTACAGCACCAATTCTGCCTGAGTTCAAGAAGTGTTTAGGCAAGGCTCTCAGGCACATGGTGGGATTCTTGGAGTGTCCTGTGTAGGGCCAGGAATTGGACTTGATGATCCTTGTGGGTCCCTTCCAACTCAGCATATTCCATGATTCTATGATTCAGAATCTCTCAAGCAACAGCCTCACAAGTAGGTTATTCACAGGCTTATTTTGTGAAAGGGCATTGAGACAAATAACTATGGAATGAAATGCCCTTGTCGTGGCAGGGAGAGCTGGGGAATGCTGATAAATGGGTGTTTTGGAGCAGTGCTTCCCATTTCCACCTCAGTGTGTAAATGTATTACAGAAATGATTATCACATGCATCCATGTGCCTTCTGTGACATCTGCTGAAGGTGCTGGAGGCTGCCAAGGATGCTGAGTCCTGAGTGCTGGAAGCTGCCACCTGTAGCTAGGTGTGTGCTGCTGCTTTGGGAAATCTATTAATGAAGTTTGGTGATTGTGCTCGATTTTTTTTAGGATTTGAAATGGCCAGTTTGGCCCTCTAGCTATCTGTTAGTTCATCCCTGACTGAACTGGTCCTTCCTTGTCTGCTTTCTCTGTAGTGACTATAGTTGCCTGATCTTGGAAATATAATTAATTAAATTGAAAAAACTAACATGTATGGAGCAAAGAAGTGCCCTAATTTTCATTGATACTGGGAAAAGACTTGCAAGTATGAAGGTGTTTGGAGGTTTTGCATTAATAATTGGGTTCCAAAATTAGGTTCTAATACTCTTCTGGCTGAAAGCTGCCCCTCGCTCCAAAGAGTCCTTCTAGATCGGGCCTCAAATTGAAAAACACCCGATTTAGATGATGTTTCGTATGTTTTTGTGGGATAGTGGAGAGTCGGAGAGATGGCGAGATGGAGAGTCTGAGCCCGGCCCGGCTCCTCTGCCGCACCGCGGGCCAGGGCCACTGCGGCTGAGCTGCCCTGTGACAGCGGGAGGGAAAAATAGGGGAAAACCGACTCATTTGTGACCTTCTGACCATTCACTTTGAAGACCTCTCCAGTCTGTAGCTTGCTAACATACCCAGGGACAGCTTCTTTTCCCCGAATCCTTTGGTTTCTGGGATGCAGATCAGGCCGTGGAGATGTGGATGTGGATGTCAGCGAGGATGAGCCAGTAGGCCCCGAGCACAGCGCTGGACGTGCCGGGTGTCTAACGCGGGTGCCCAGAGGCGACGGCGATGGCCCCGTGCCTGCTCTGGCTCCCGCTCGTGCTCGGTGTCCCTGTGCGTGCCGCCCCACGCGTGCCCATCGCCCCGATGGCACCGCCCCGCCGCCACTGTCTGCCCGCGGGGCTTGGCGGAGCGGGCTGGCCGCGGGCGGGCTCGGGGCACCGCTGCTCCCCGCGTGCCGCTGCCAGGAGCCGGTGCCGCGCTGCCGGAGCGCCCCGATCCGGGGATGCTCTGGGCGGGGCCGTGACGCGGCGGGCGGGGCGGGGCAGAGCGCGGCGGCGGCGGCGGCGGCGGGGCCGAGCGGAGCGGGGCGAGTGGAGCGCAGCGGGGCCCAGGGCTGTCGGCCGGCAGGATGCTGGAAATCCAGCTGGACGATGGCGGCGTGGGGGGGTACCCGGGCGACGATTACTGCTCGGGGTCGGTGATGTCGGAGCGCGTCTCGGGCCTCGCCAACAGCATCTACCGCGAGTTCGAGCGGCTGATCCACTGCTACGACGAGGAGGTGGTGAAGGAGCTGATGCCGCTGGTGGTGACGGTGCTGGAGAACCTGGATTCGGTGCTCACCGACAACCAGGAGCACGAGGTGGAGCTGGAGCTGCTGCGGGAGGACAACGAGCAGCTGCTCACGCAGTACGAGCGGGAGAAGGCGCTGCGCAAACAGGCCGAGGAGGTGAGCGCCGCCGCCCCGCGACCATCTTGGGCCGCCGCCGGGCGGGGAGACCCGGGGAGGGGGAGCGGCAGGGCCGGCGGCGCGGGGGGGCGCGGGGCTGCGGCGGGGCCGCCTCTCGCAGGCCTCGGCTCCGTCCCCCCGATCGCCGCCGCTGGCGGGTCCCTCCTGCCCGGGGGAGGGGGGGGGCCCGGAGCAGCGGCCGCCGGTACCTTCTAGAAGCGGAGCGCGGGGGCGGGCGCATCCCCTGCCGCGGGGGCGCGGGGCTCTCCCCGCACCCCCCGGGCCCCGCGAGCCCGGCCCGGCTCCTCCGCCGCACCGCGGGCCCAGGGCATTGCGGCGGAGCTGCCCTGTGTGACAGCAGGAGGGGGAAAAAAAACCAAACCCGAACCGAAAAAACCGCAGTGCCTCGGATTCGAGGAATTAGGAATTCGCTTTGTGCAATGCCAACGGCATCCGGAGGGGTCGGCGCAATTTGGGGTGTAAAAAAGTAGTTTTTAAAAATGGGTAATTTGTGCAGCCGCCTGGCTTTCTCAATGTCAGCTGTAAGCTGTTTCCTGGAGCGTGGATGTGCTCCCGTGAGAGCCGGGGCAGGGCTGCCCAGCTGCGAGGGTGGTGTGGAAGAGGCTCATGAGAGATCCAACCCCTGTGATGGAGAGGAAGAAGAATCCTCGAGTTACAGAGACTCGGATGTAGACAAAACAGAGGGGAGGTGACCTGCACTCTGTCATCTTCTTGCATCTGCGCCTGTCCCTGCTGAAATCCAGAGCATCCTTTCAGCCTTGAAGGCTGGGAGGCATAGGGGTTGCTGTTCCTCCTCTTGGAGTGACAGTCTGTGAGCTGGGATAGAGATTGGTGGTGCAAAAAAGTCCATCCTCACCACATCATCCCCGTTTCACTGCACAGCTTCTTAAAAAGAGGATTTTTTTCTGTCTTTTAGACTAAGAGCGGAAGATTTAAGATTCAGTAGTCTTCCTAGTTCTGGTTTGATAAGGGATAATTAATAAAATAAAATAAGTGGTAATTAATGAAATAGTTACTGAACTGGAGAACAGCATAAAACACTTGTAAAGCACACACAGGATTTTCATAGACATGTTCTTGTTGCTTAATAATCACGTACAGGAATCTTGGTAACTTGATGGGGAGGACACTTGTGGTCCACTACTGATACTGAAAGCAAGAGCCAGGTAGTGAAAAGTCTTAGTCCCGAGTTTTAGTTATGTATTAAGGGACTAATAAATAATCTTTTAAAATTATTTTAAATGCACATAGAGGTTGAAAATTGATTCTGGGTACATGAGACTTACTGAATGTCGGGTAGAGACAGCATTTTGCAGCTTCTGAGAAAGAATAATTTTAAAAGTGCACTATTTATGGGGAAAAAAATGGAGTTTGGAACAGTCCGGTTGGAATGATCTTGCCTTTTTGGACCAGGGACGATTTCTATTCTTGAATTATTAGATACAGGATGTGTTTTCTGGAAGCAAATGTAGTGACAGCAGTTACATTCCCTGCAAGGAAACCTGGGAACTGTGGCAGAACACTGTTGGCTGATGATCATGATATTCTGTTATCCTTACACACAGGTCAGTGTAAGTGGGAGAAAAAAGTGTCTGCAAGGAGACTTGTTACCAAAAAAGAATCGACAGTGTGCTTCTTATGAGAACAAATGAGTATTCTGCCGCTACAAAGTCCCTGTTACAAGGTCATACATGGAATACATGGCGGCTGTTTTCCTCAGCATATAGCAGAGTACGTTATTTATCTGCACCTGTTTCCCACGTGGTGCTTACTCTGCAGTAAATTACACATTATGGGGGTGAAATCTGTGCATGACAGGGAATTCTGCTGTCCACCATGTAATTGTACGCAACCAAAAACCAGAAAACTGTTTTTCCTCCCAGAATGTGGATTGATGCTGTGAAACAGAGCCATAGTGACCAGGGACTGTCCATTCCACCTCTCCAGAATCATTATCCTCCTGGGCTGTGCCTCAGGGCTTGGGTGAGATCTTCACTTCTAACTGGGAGGATCCTCCCCTGGGAACAGGATTTGACCTGAGTCTTGATTCCTCTCAGTGTATGAGTGCCAATTACAACAATTAAAGTGACACTGAGAGGTGAAAAACTGCTCTGTTCTCTTGTAATATCCTGTCAAAGGACCCTGAGTTATAATTACTTTGTATTAGTTTATTAGTTTCAAAGTAACTGAAACCACAAGTGGGCATTGTTCTCTGGCATTAAAATGTGTGTTGTGTTGGCTGGTTACCACTGTGCAGAGCCATCACACCTTGCTGTTCATCTTTATGCAGCAGTTGTGCACAAACAGACTGTTATAGGTATGGTTTGTTAAATTAGGGTTGTTTCCAACAACCATAAAATCATAGAAACATGGAATAATTTGAGTTGGAAGGGACCTTAAAGATCATTTAGTTCCAACTTCCCTGCCATGGGCAGGGAAACAGCTTTTCACTACATGCCATAAAGGAAAGTTTGCCTTCTTAATACTCCTCTCTTAAGACGATTCTATATATTGTCTTTTGAAACAATCTTTGCCAAAAGCAAATTACTGCTTTATTTTCTAAACACTTGGGCTCTAGAGCATTTTCCTCTTGGCCTAAAATAGGGCAGCAGAAGCACCTAAGCAAGGGGACTGAGAATAGAAGTTCCTTGGCAGGAAGGAACTGAGGCAGTGCTGTCAGTCACTGTGATAATGGGGCTTAGTACACAACGTTGCCGTTTCCATGGCCTCCAAGCTACTGAAGATGTGGGATTGCACCAGATTTTCAGTGATTTTGTTTTCTTCCATCTGTTTTATATCCTATGAACATAGGATACATATGTATGAATGTAGGATGATTATTGCTTGTGTGGTGTGGTGTTCTGTGGAATCACAGAATCCCCTAATGTGTGTGTGACCTCCTGAGATCGAGTCCCACAGCCCAGCTCAGGCAGGGGCAGCCAGAGCAGGTTGTCCAGCATCTGGTGGGAGTTTGAGCATCTCCACAGATGGAGACTCTGCAGCCTCTCTAAGCCACCTGTCCCGGTGTCTGACCCCATTCAGGAAAAATGTGGATCCTTGTGTTCAGATGGAATTCCATGTGCTTTCCCTCGTGCCCGTTGCCTCCTGTGCAGAGCAGTCAGCCCCCCCCCCCCATCCTTGCTCCCTCCCAGCAGGTACTTGAGCACACTGGTCAGACCTCCTGGAGCCTTCTGGAGCAGCCCCAGCTCTCTTGGCCCCTCCTCCAGTCCCATTTACCACCTTAGTGGCCCTGGTGTTTGAGGTGGTGCACACTAACACAGGGCATTT